CCTCCTACGCAGGAGGAAATATCTCGGGAAACAAAGCGATGTAAATTAGGCGGGGAAAACAAATTACAACCCCCCAAAATGGAACACCCCCCCCCCAACAAATTCCACAGTAAGCATTCCTACGTAGATTTTCATAAGACCCCTGTCTCTGGAGAGTTATTATTTTTGTTCCCCGAAGAGAAATTTAACGCAAGGAAACAGGCTATGACATCTGAAATACTGAAAAAACCGTTTCAAGGACCGGGTGGCAGCTTAACAATTCGCGACATGAACTTATTCACCGACAGCTCCAGAACGGTTCGAAATTCGGTTGAACTGGTGAGAAAAATCCATACTCAATTAAGATGATCGTTATTACTGGAGTCTGACAAAAGACCATACTAGGCCAGAGTTCCTACTTCAAGATTCTACTCTGCTAACTCCCCTATTCGGACGTTACCAGTGAAAAAGCAGCCAGATACCACGGAAAACTTGTGTCAAACCGACCAGTTTTAATGAGCGACGCTTTCTAAGCTAGTGGGCGAATGTAGGAAACGAATCGTCACGGATAGCAACACGCCAGTAGCTGATACTAGCGTCTAAGTACCATACAACGATGGTTGTGGCATGCGCAGTACCCGCCCAAAATTGCATAAACTTTACGAGCCTAATTTACTGTTCCAGCATCTCCAGTTCGTCACGTACACGCTGAAATCAGCGTATACGCTTGCTAGGCTATGGTGATTAGTTTGGATATGGAACACAAGTGGCCTACCAAATCAAACTAGACTGCAGTTGGATCTTTTACCTGTTACTGCGACGCGAAAGTTCAATTAGGATAGGAGTCTCGAAAGCGTGGGTCACGCTTGTTGCTGAATATCGGAAATTCGAACTGTCTATCTAATCATCATACGATGGTCGGGCCATTTCGACTAGTTTTTGGAGCTGAATGTGAAAGAAATGTGCTTCATTATTTCCCGATTAGCATGGAAAGCCATATTCTCACCAGCCGGCCGAATCGCATGCGAAACGAAATCAAGCAATTTGGATCATCCTAATTCCTTCCATAAAAAGTCCTGTTCGTAAAAATCCGAATTTATTTCACCCGAGACAGAAAAGTGCATTTTAGACCCATCTCAATCCTCGTTTCATTTCTGCATAAATCAACTTTTTTGTTACGAAATGTTTCGACCCATTAAAATTTAGTTTGTTGTTCTGGTCCGCTGTGCACGAGTGAATGCACCCTGGTTCAAAGTTCATCCCATCTTACCCCCGAACAAGCACATAATTGCACATCTTCGTCTTCCGAGAAACACGCTAAGATATGATATTTAGGACTATCGCTAGGTTTCTGTCCATTGCATTATGAATGAAACTTCGAAAAAGTCCGCCCATTTACGGGGAATTACATAGGAAATAAACACGATAGCGATTTCGAATGCTTGTAACATCTATCCCCACCTGTTCACCCTCAGCCAAATGGGCCACGTCAGAATATCTGTTGTATCCATTGACCCAAATACAAGCAAATTCTTGCCTTAGGTCGAATGAGATTCAATAATCAAAAAGGTGTGACTCTATTTTCTAAAATGAGCTATTACCATAAAACTAACCCTGTTCTGAGCGAACCGATCGTACAGGAATAACCACACTATCCGAACCTGGAATGGAAAGTGGAACTTCGGCTGTAAAATCAACCAGCGAGGACAGTTCGACTATACACAATGTCGCACTACAATAAGACATACAACCCATACACATTCACATTGTTCTCACGCTGAAAATATGAGGTTAGCAGGCCAATCAAAGCCAACCGTTTGGCCTTGAAACCCTGCCTAGTGGTAAATAAGCCCGGACTGTCTCATAACCGATTGGCAGTGTATGTGCTGGTAGTGCAACAAGCGGTACCGACTAGTACTCCAATCATAAGGGTAACAAATTGGCCAGTAAAGAGGAATGGCCCACAGACAGAGATACATGAGACCAATCAGTGCATTTTATGATTGATACTTTCACAGACGATAGCCTTTCGACTATTAGGCTTGAAGATGCACTGATGAGAGAAGTTAGCAGAGTGAAACACCTGGGCCAACATGGTTAGGATCCACTTGGATTATCCATTCGGTTTTGCCACCCTAAAAGTTTCGTCTTGATTACCAAACGATACACGACCAATCCACAACAACCGAGCTAAGTTTGCAAACATTGGCAGATAGAGCGCTCATTCTCCTCTAGATGCTTGTTCCAAATAAGGTAGTAGCAGCGTGGGAACAGTTGTCCTCAAGAGTGAACGACGGAACGAAAAGCACAATACGCCACCAGATGGAACTTGCAATATGTACTGACAAAAAAACCATTCAGCTGTAACACCCTTCCGGTGCCTAGCTACCATGCCACCCGAAGGAAGCACGAGGGCTGGGAAACTGCCAGGTTGCCCAAGCCTAGACAGGGGAATTCTAGAGGCAAACCATGTATTTGTTGGGATATCGCGACAAATGACACGGAAATACCGAAATCTTCCACCCCAGGGCCAAGGCGAGCCGAAATTCAAGGAAACATCGCTCAAGAGCTAAGCCTATGATGAAATGCAATTGTCGAGTAAGTTCACATAATTTCTGGATGATAATGCAGGTTTTACTTACTGGTGTACATCGCTCTAACCAACGTGAATTTGAATAATAACGGAGCTTTTGAACGGGACGGTTTAACTGCGAGCACAATAAGCGACGGTGACTGAAGCTATTCAGGCCATGTGACAGTGTCTAGAATCAATAATGGATATTTACACGAAAACTTCCAAAGTCAAAACACAACGCAGTGGAATGAAACACTATAATCCGATGCTTCGGTTGCCGTAGGCAACATTTCTTAAGTATTCTTGCAGTCAATGGATATTTGTGTCTAAAAAAGATAGTCAGTACAAGTGGGGCAATATTTACGTTACCAGGAGACAAACTTAGCAGAAGAATACTGAACAGCTTTTTGGAAAAATAATTTCAGTCCTTACAAGCCTTGAATTCACTGAATATTCCCATTTCAATACGGAAACAAATTTGAGAACGATCGTATTCCATCGCAACTCACTCGACAAGTAAGGATAAAACAGAACACCGCGCTAAACTACTACACAGTGTTGCCATGCTATAAGCGTAAAAACAAGGACACTATCTACTAGATGGTTGGAAGTTTTGATTGACGGGTCAAGGAAATGTTAGAGTTTTGATGCATCACTGACCGGCGAAAAGAAGTCACCTATTCAAATGGCAATCGCCTCAGCTGTTTTAGGTATTTGTTGGCGAATGGCCCAAGACCAATTTTTCCGATTTCGACAAACTACGCTGAATGACGCAGCCCAATTGACCAAGCGATCTGCGACTGGCGTAGCGCATGCCACGTGTATGGATGCTCCAGCTTTTGATTTCCAAATATTTTCTGCGCAACTTTTCCACGACACAACACACTAATCATGGATCGCACAAACTAAGCCAAAATAGTCTTCTATCGAGAGAGCCCAAAAAAGCCCCTTCGACGTGGCTATGCCTCCTAGACAAAATAACCGCAGCACTGCTTTCACGTTCCATAAATGTATTTTGGACGGGTCGTTCAACAGTCATTCATGAAATCTGGTCCCTTTCAGGAGTTTCCCAGAGCTGGATAAACAACATGATCTAGCCAACGCTAGTACACTCAGGTTTCCTTTCGTTGAGCATGGACCAACCATAGACGCCTCGTTGAACTGCGACTCCTATGAACCTCATACTATACCCTAGTTTGCTAAAAACACCAGAGTTTCGCCACTGTACCACGCGTCCATCAATTGAGTGATCACTCCCTCATCTAGACCTGACTATGACGCCATACCCTCAGCAGCCACATTCTTAATTCTGCTGTCGTCACCAGCAAAGATAACTTAGATTCCATAGGACACAACACTCACGTAGTAACAATCCAATTATTTGGATAACACGTCACTAATATCCTGATTTGGCAACCACGTAGTCACTTGGTTTACCTTGAGGCACCAGACGTGTTACAACCAGCTCCAACAGTAACGTGCAACGACAGATATGATCGTTGAGCCTGCCTTCAAAGACGATTCACGGCCGCCGCATACGCTTGCGGTATGATAGTTTATCGTCTATCGTCCTGAAAATTGTGTACATCTGTTGTTTCACCAACAACGGGCGTGAAAAGAGGCCACTATTTTAGCCCAGCCAGTTATGAATCCGTTTTAACCCAACCTGACAAAACATTGTGACCAACGCCTCAGCCAGTGATAAATGTTCACCGAAAATTATCACCTGTTCATGCTAGTGCAATGCGGCGGTGTTAGCTGAAAAAGCGATAAATTAACCCCATCTGATCACGCTCTCTGAAACGACTCCCGATGTAACAGGACAGACGGTATGGCTACGCATGTCTGTCTGTCTGTCCCTGTGTAATTCGACTGCCCCTGTGATGCAGCCAGACTAGCTTGGTCTCACAATTTCAGACTACTGTACCTGTAATTGCTAGCAATTCCACAAGGAAGTTTCTAGCCAGTCAGTGATTGTAATGCGTTGCCTTCAGAGTTTGCATCGAAGATGGAAATTCTGCAAACCGTGAGAATCCTATTAGAAGGGCCAGCATAGTAACGACGTTTGATACAACTGAGTGCTTGTTAACAATAGTAGAGTAACGCACTTAGATGGGCCTCTAAACACGGTGGTACTATAAAAAATCACTCGACTGTAGCCCGCTTTCGGAAGGATACACGAGGGCTGAGAAACTGTCAGATCACCCAACCCTAGACAGAAAGAGTCGAGATGCTGCGGTTGGGTTCGCACTACGGACCTTCCGGTTCGTAAGCTCGCGCCTTAACCACGAGCTATCTAGAGCTACATCGAACACAATCTATTATTTTGCTGCTTGGTATTCTGTTAGAAGGTCCCGGACCGAGCACGGGATACTCACCCGAGTGTCTGAGTCAAAGGTGGTAATTCTGACAGATCTAACCAGTACCAGCACAAGCAAGCGTCTCCCGAGAGTATTCTTTCAATTATGACCGCTATATGTAGGTGAAGCGTGGCTGTGATTACGGTACCAAGCATCGTATCCTGTCCGTAATGGGGCTCTCAACAAAATTCAAAAGACGGTTGTTACATTGCAGCAATTCTTCACGCATTCGCACAGAGGGAAACAGTCAAACACGGGAGCTTCTATGGCACAAAAGCCGCATCGGAGACTGAAGATACACGGACGAGCGGAACACTGTCAACTGGGAAGCAGCATGAATCGAAAAAATTCCTCAATCCACAGTTAGCACTAACAGGCTGACCAAAATGAGTGGTAACGGTGAAGGTGGTGATCGCGGCGGGTAAAATGGACTGGATCAGTTAAGAAATCAGTCTGGGTACATTTACCCGCGCACCCGAACACACGTACTCACTCACCCTAGGCATATGGGAAGAGAGAACAAGGGCTCAAGGGTGAATTTCGAAAGCACTCTGACTGGGCTGAATGGAACCACTGATAAAGAAATAAGTACACCCGCGTGCATTTGTAATCACCTATTTGAGCAGATGCTCGGTTGCTTGGGGAAGATCCCAGTTCTTCATTGAAAGTGCGCAACGGGATTCGTGCTGAAACAAACGGAAGAGAGACGAATCGAAAAGTCACATGCCTGTTAATAACGAGTAATCAGCATTGGCAATGACAGTGGCAAACGCTTAATGGATCACTGCTTTCCAGCGAGGGATTTACACCAACCAAATGTAACGATAGAATGTGTCAAAGAAGAATAACTGATTTTTGGCCCGTTTGGAAGAGAATTCTCACCCATTAATCCGAAGGAGGTATGATACTACTGATGCGCACCAGCTACAACCAACATCTGGGCACTAAGAGAAATGATAAGGACGATGATAGTAAAAGTCTTGCTTGTTATCATTGGCCATATGGGTCAACAGACAACAAATTTATGATACTAGCCAAAAAGCACATCTACGATTAGGTAGGTACATCCACTGAGTTAAACTGATTGCATCCCAGTTGAACCAAATCAGTCTGGATATGTTGACCCTCGCATCACTTCCTCCCTCCACATATTTAGCCCTAGATGAATCTGATCACACACGTAGTCTCCGAAAAATAGCATGTAAAATTCTAATGTATTAGCAAACACGACCAATCACAGAAAGCAACGGTTGGTCGCTACCTTCTTTCTTACCACAACTTACACGAGTGGTTTTCCACGCTTGTAGAGGGATCAAGCTTTAACCACCTGTATTACTAATCAAAAGAGATACACCTGCATGGAACCAACAAACTAGCCTCTGATACAGTACGATTCAAGTAATGTCACAAGAACAGAATTTAATAGACGTTTAATAATATTGAATTCTACAACGGGACGTCAACGGGATGTCTACAACGAACCTAGGACCGAATATTATGTAGGTAGTAGAAAAAACGTTCATCTGTAACACCCTTCCGGTGCCTAGCTGCCAAGCCACCCGAAAGAGTCACGAGGTTTTGGGATGCTGCCAGGTTGCCCAAGCCCAAACAGGGGAAGTCGAGAGGTAGAGGTCGGGTTCGAACCACGGACCTTACGGTTCGTGAATTCATGCTCCAACCATCCCACCTATCTCTTCCTATGTATGTGGTAAGGAGATCAAGAAGATTCAAACATTTCATCCTGGGAGTGAATTCAATCAGAACTGAAGGGCTTGAAAGTTGCTTCAACCTTACGAAATATCACCAGCAGTGCATATTTTATGGACGCATTTTATGAACACACAAGCTATCCGATAGGGGTTTAAACACTGGGCGGCCGAATGACCCGCTTAAACAAGATTTGGCGCCACACACACGGCCCATGTCACAAGATTTGATGCTGACTTCTTGGATGACTCCCTCTTGGGAGAAGGCCCAGGTAATTTGTGAGATGTGCTCCTCTCTTAGCAGATCATATTTCATATCTAGTGAGGAAATTTTGAAGTTTCAAAGCTGGATTACATCCAACTGTCGGGCTAGACATACGCCAGAAAACCTAGAATTGTGCAGTGTTTTTAGTCTCAGAAAGGGACTCTTGAAATTCGACGCATCAAGATGTCACTTGAGGTGAATAGCGTGAGTTGATAATGAGCGACGCTGTTTCTTGTCACGGTCGATATCGACGATGTTGAACAGCTAGTTGTAACAGAATCCTGAAGGTTTGAGGTCCAAATTCTCTCAGGACTTCATGAGAGACTACTGGGAGTTCACAACAAGAATGGGACAATCACGCATTGCTTTTCGACTTTTCAGAATTAGTTGAATTTGCTTGCACAATGACGTCCAAAATGAGGAGTGTTTTTATGTGGCTTCCTTAGATATGCACAACCCAGCCCAACATTATATACCGTTCTGTTAGAAATACGTTACTGAGTACCGTGGTTGAAACTCCGTTCCACAAATACCTTACTTTCGCATTATCCGTTTCCTCTACACATCGAATGTTCCTCTATTTGTTCGTCAACGCGATGGAACTTCAAACCTGAAGATTAGCACGACGAATGAACATCAAAGTTGGATAGTTTACCGTTTGACGCAAGCTTTAAACGGCAATATCACACGAAAATCGGACATTGGCCCTGGTATGGTCCTAAAATGACAATTTTAAGCATGAGATTCCCATAAAGCCACCGCACATCTTGAGAAAATCCTGAGGATCGACATGCGTTCCACTACCTGAATCCGCAGACAACCCAGGAATTCTCCAGAGGAGTGGCATATCTCAACAGAAGTCTGAGAGAACTGCTTTTCGTTTTTCTTCCTAAAAACGACATTTTTTGCAAGGTAGTGGAAGCACCTGTATTCACTTCAAAAATTCCGTGCCAAAAAATCTCCCTCCCCAAAACCTGAGTGGCACTCAGCGGGGCTCATCAATCAGTGTGGTGTAACAAAATCCTGCTGTAACTGTTCGGAAGTGAGTGCTTACCTGCTCGCCCCTTGTACACATCAGCCATGATGTTAACGGATTAGCATCAGTTTAAAACCAAATAAAGCGAATGGAGAAGGAACGTAACATCAACAACCATGATGACAGCGTCCTTCATCCATATGGCGGTGGAGTTCAGTGTGTGATATACCGGCTTGTGAGGTTTTGTTCACTGACACGTGATCATCAAATGCCTAAGCGCGGCTAGTAGGTGATTGTCAACCAAAACTGATGAACTTGAATTTATTTGCACATCATCATCATCACCCACGACAATACGACAGCGTTAAGTCCGGTGCTTAACCACTACACAACGATGTAAAGAACGTCTTTCCCCTAGAGAAAATGATAAACAACAAGGTGTTTGTCGGTCAGAACCAAAATTACCACATCCGAGATTCGCATGTGACAAGACCCCATCAACGGAATCGACCCAATAACTTGGCCCCATGCGAACCCACTACAACGACAGATAGGCAGTCCGGAAATGGTATGCTGGTAAAAGGGGCCGATGATATGCTACCTCTTGCAGGGATTTCAATCGCGTGCTGGAAGGATCACGTGGACCCTAGATGAATACGCGCGGTGATAGCGGCAGCGTTCTGTCATCCATGGATCTTTATCCAAGAGTTCCATGTAGATGAGAATGCGCTGTTTATCGGACAATGGTTTATTCCGTGGGGTGCACACCCGAATTACCCTAACCCGTTCTTGTGATTCATTTGTTTATACACCAACCCCCTACAAACCTGCCTCAGCCAACCAATAGCTACTATGCTACGGAGGCGATAATGATCAAGCATTCGGATAAAAGCGGCTAGTTTCCCGACTACTAGGAAAGGCGATCTAAATAACTTATGCAGTTAGTCACTAGGTTCCGCTGTTTCGCTTATTAGCGCACTCCTCCATATTAGCTGGTTTGGCAAGGTGACGAAAAAAGATACAACGAAACGAAGAGGCGAACAAACAAGCCCGACAAATGAGTTCCCAGCAGACTGGGAAACCATGCTGTCACAATAAGGCGACAGCACTAGCACCTTGAGAAATCTCGTGAAAACCGGTTAACCTGATATAAATGTGACTAATAAAAAGTCGAGCCTAATCATCCTATTGTACCATTTTTCGCCCTTAGTCCGTTTGTGGTCACGGGCTTTGCCGGTAGTCCATACTGCATGTAAACGACATCTTAGAAAAATGTGGTAAACCCAAAGGAATTTCCGAACTTCCGTATGAAGTATTGGAATAGAAAAACACGGTTACATTACGATCGTCGCTTTTGCGTTCCGGTTACAAGTCACGAACCAATCGATTGATAGTAAAAGGTTACAGGGAAAAGTGTGAAAAATGGGCGAGTTGGAAGAAAGCAATATGATTGGTGAAAGTCAAGCAACTAACTAAGCCTACAAATCGCGACCATAGCAATCGGGGTATGAATGATAAGCTATTGGTTTTTTTCTAATATTTAAAAACGAAACGGATGACGTTATTGACGTCAGCACTGGCATATATATAGTGAGAATCATCCATGGAGTGCAGAGAAAGCGAAAATGAGAGGCGCACATCGCCATATCACGATAAGGAACCGTTACCAACTTCGGTGAGTGGATTCTTCAGGGCTCCCCATGTCCTCACAGAAGCTCTCAAAATCACACGTACTAAGCCGTCAGGTTCTAGGGTTCTACCCGTGTTACAGCAAGTCACAAGTAACACCATCACATGTGCAGCAACAACATTGATGAACGTGTACTTCATTGCCGTCGGTATCACGCCGAAAGTAAAAAAAAATACCGGTAAAAAAAAGGTGAAAAGTGCACCTTCGTAATCCAGAATCTGAGTCGAAAAATACGTGTGCTTACCTCGTCGAAACCCATGCTAACCAGTTGATCCACCAAAGAATTGCATTCAGTGTCTTTGAACGGTCCACCTGCATAAATAGCAGCCCAGTATTGAGCTGTTCGATCGAATGCTGCGGGACAGGATTTGTACTGGTTGGCGACCACAGCATCCTGAGGGTCATCAGGCTCCGGGGATGCCAGAAGGGCTTGGATGGACAGAAGGACAGTGCGCAAAGACATTGCAGCGGCCCTGTGAAAAAGTGGATAAACTCATTGAAATGGCGTTCGGACGGCTGGAAACCGTCAAAGTTTTCGCACGGATATGGAAAACGACAACACGATGGAATATACTTACAGTGAGGCTTTTGGGGAACAGTAGCCTTATGAGAGTTCAACGAGTATCAGAATGTGCACTGCGGTGATCAACCAGCAAAGGAACCTCTAGTATCATACTGCAACTTTAACCCGTCGCCTGAGTCGGGGAGAAAAAAAATGCCTCTTCAACCAAATGTCCCATCGAACTTCGCCTTTTTTTAATAGCCTTGCGTTCATATTGTGACCACTGCCGTCAGTTTTTTTTCCTGGACATTGTTCGGATATCACTACGCAGAAAACATGCAGTGGCTCTTTATCCTTCGGGCGTGTACCACCAGAAATACAGTAGACTATAAACTGACGAAGTTTTCCGGATTACAGCCATAAAAATTTCCAACATAATTCCACCAATCACATGATTTCTAATGACATCCCCTGCGGTTCACGAATTTCATATTTTTCACCAACTGTAATTTACAGAACCAGATCAGGAACAAACCTAATAGCTCATTGCTACAACGTACATCACTACTCAGTCACTATAGCAACAGAACATTTAGGGGATGATTGCTGTTCTCTTGATCGACCTCATTACTTAGTTCAATGAGCTAGAGTTTGGAGAGTGATCACTTGTTTCGCCCGTTTTTGTCAGTTTCCTACGAAAAAGGACTCATCAGGTGCCACTAACTCAGGTGACAACATTTGGTAGTGTTTGCTGGTAAGGAGATACGATGCAAATCAGTGACAGAAGCAACAAGGATAAAAGAGTCAATAACGATGAATCAGCAAACGTTGACCTGCGAATTTACCTCCTACGTAATGGGCCATTTTCGATAAATGTATACGGACCAGATGTTTCTAACTCGGTTGTTCGATTGCAAGTATTTCCCCGTAAACTATTGCCTCCAGCGAAGGCTTTATGAGACAGAAACACTTTATAAAGGGGATCGGCTGAGGCCTCCCAAAATAGCGGACTTGGAAATTTAAAAATCCTGTGTCTACTTTTGTCATCAAGTGGATAAGAACCCAAAAACAACGACGAATTTTATTAGAGCAGCAGAATGACCTGGACACGCGAGGTCACTTGGCTACTACAAAAAAGGGTCAAGAAGTTGGGAACCAATGTACCGTAGGCACAGTTCCTACTTATGGGATTTGCTGTGACAAATCCCCACTCATATCAATAGCCCGATCCATAAAAGTACAAGAGACACACCAGCCTCCCACACAGTGCTTTCGCCAAAAACGCTGTGGTGTCTATATTCTGTTCTGTTCTTTTCGGAGTCACTGTACGTAACCAGATGCCTGTTAATCGCTTATTAGCAAAATCCACCGGTACGCCTTTTCTCATTATCCAAGAGAATTTTCGACGAATAGTATTGGTTCACATGGCAACGTTCCTTCGGGAGAACGAACCAAGGACGACATTCTTCCTGTTTATAAAATAACATATTTTGTCCTCTAAAGGTACTTGACTAAATCTACAGCCACTGATTTATCTCAAGATATGGTTGAAACCGCAAAATGATTTGATCAGGCTTGGGCTTGAGTTACAGCGCGTGGAAGTTACTCGGGATATACAGTAGGATCAAGGAGTGAATAATAACCCATTATTGGTCAAGTTCGTAAAAACTAAGATTTTGTTGATATGCTAGCACACCTCACCATACCGATATTTCCGATTACGAGAAGCCCGCCGCCTTACAGGGTGATATTCACGTGATCCTCACTGTGCTTGGAAGGAGACACTGCAATATATAGTGTATATCGACACCATTCTGTTTAGTTTTCTACCGGAGCTGACTAACTTAGTGTCTGGCACCTCAGATAGTTTGAACTAGGTTAACACTAGGCTTCTCCCTTCCCAGTTTATTGTTCTTCCACGATGATGCCTTCAAATGAACTACGATTGTGCCGCAGGATAGCCCCAGTGTTCAACACCGGTGAATAACATGCTCCGAGGACAATTATCCAAGCTTGTCTTGTCGCTGTAACAGTGTGCGCCTCTTCTTCATATAGAAAGAAAAGAAAGAAAGCGTTCAGCTGTAGCACCCTTCCGGTGCCTAGCTGCCATGCCACCCGAAGGAAGCACGAGGGCTGGGATACTGCCAGGTTGCCCAAGCCTAGACAGGGGAAGTCGAGTGGCGGAGGTCGGATTCGAACCATGGACCTTCCGGTCAGTAAATTCACGCTCTTAGGTGAGACTACCGAAGTTTTTGGAGTATATACTATCGTAGAAGCGACAAGTTTCCTAACTGCATGCCGTCTGTTGTTGAAGATAATACACAACAGAATTTCATTCAGCAGAATTTCAATCTCGTCGTCTTTCCTGAAAAATAACTGGCCAACCCCCATGGTGAAAGTGTTGAATATACGGATCACGGCCTGACAGAAGGATAGCACTTATGCCGAGAGACAACACCGGGTAAAGTTACATTTGGAAATCAAAGCGAGAAAAATTTAACTTTAGTTTGCGTGACAGTGATTGCAAATCAGTTTTCGAAAACAATATCCGGACAACCTAACCGTGTAGATTGATAAAACCAATCAAGTTGGTTAAGTTCTTCATTGGTATTCTTTCTCGTTAGCCGTTTTCCACTTCAGGAGGTGAATACCGATAAGGAATGAGATTATTCCGTATGAAAATGAACTCCTTAGACTGTACGAAGATCTGGATACATGTGCTATTAATTATTCTGTCCCAGATGCCACAAATTCGTGTATTTGCTGACCCGAGTAACTGCAAATTAGCGCGTTCATAAGAAACCCAACAAAACTGGTCAACGGCGGTGACCCTTCGGCGTAAAGCTGCCTGTAGAGCATGGGAGCCAAAATAGCCCGATACATCCGAAGCTTGAAACAGAATAATGAAGTTGGAAGTGAAACAGACACATAAGCTATTCGGCTAAATCAGACTTTGGCCTGTGAGCCGCTTCCAATTTGTGTATACGGCCGACTACGCAGCTTAGAGCCCTTTGTGAGAAACCCCTAAAAAGGCAATGCCCCTATGAAAAGAACCGTTTTGCACATCAGAGACTTAACCCACAGGACCTTTGAACGAGGTGTATGGTTACCAGGAACATTTTTATCCCCTTTATCTCCATAAGTGAGTTGTCCTTCCATGGCTTTTAGGTTGGTTGGTCTACATTATCGAATGACAACAGATAAATACTCTTGTACGTTTTCATTCTTTGCAAAATACAAAGTCCTCATTCCCTTGTTCCAAAGGAGACTGAGAAGCCAATCTAAACAAGCAGACACTTAGTACCGTTGGAGGCCGTCACGAAGAGACTGGACCTTACCGTGGTGTGACGGTTTGCGCACCTCAGCGATCCATTGAGCTATACTGGAGAGTGTCCCGCGACACTCACAGAGTCTCTCATACCAGGTTGGTCAATGGTTAGAGGTCTGACGAACACAGTCTCCTGGCCCTCCAGGTTGGGGGTTGAAACATGTGGCGACTTGTTCCGTAGAAACGGTAATGCATTTGCATTTCCCGCCAAACACCGCTACCTTGCGGTTAGGCTTTTGAGCCAAAGGCTTTGGTTGAGGACCCTAATCGTCCTCCTGTCTAGGTGTAGGCGCCCTGGCAGTATCCCAGCCCTCGTACAATCATGACCTTGTTACAACTCATGTTTGTAGGATAGCCAAAATACTGCCATGGCAATGATAGAAAGATAATTAGGGACGTCATTCGACGAGCGTGATCCGAATGACTTGTCACAAGACAACAGCAGTTAGGTGGAGTTAAATAGAAAAGTTTACATTTTGTGACGCATGTTCTGCCCTTAGCCACAAGAATAAGGTGGTTCCTATCCAGTTTGAGGTCTTTATGGAAGTCTGAATTACTGAGCTACCTCAGGCGGAAGAGAAATCCTGGGGTAGGAGGACTAATACTTCAGCGAGCTTCTTTCATTAGATTCTCTTGCCTCAATTTTGATGTCTAACTTGACATAACTCAGTCACTTTTCGAACTTTTCCTCCAAATTGTATCTGCGCATCTGATGAACGTTGTCAATAACTGTCTACAAAAAACACTAATAAAAGACTGACAGTCCATGGGGTTGGCAATAAGAAAACTTAGCCTTATTATAACCAGTCACAAGTATCATTGTTGAATTGCATTTATCAAGGAGCATTTCACGGAGGCTAAGAGTCAGAGTTCAGTAAGTGATTTGTGCACCTGTTCTTTTACAGACAGAAGCACCAGTTTCTAAAATTGAAAACGTACGGTAATTTTCCGGATTAAATCCTGGCACAAGTATATCGTTGAACCATCAGTATTAAGATTATTCGGCTTGTCTGTGAGGCCTGCTCACCCGGAAGACCTCTCGAGGTGCCGATAACTGAGCTTTCAGATGGAACAGGCTGAGCAGCAA